GTATGTATATATACATTTATCAAATTTTTAATTATTCTTTACTTCTTAATAATTGTTAATAATTGAATTATAAGATGTTCGTTCTTTAGCTGTAAATTATAAAAATTATTAAAATTATTTATAAAAAAAACTCAAATACATTCAAAAAACTCAAAATAATCAATTTCAAACATTTATATTATCTTTTTATATTATTTTTTTTAATTGTTTGTTATTATTGTAATATTATATCTTATTAATAATTTTTTGTATTATTTTTAAATTTTTATAATAAAATTAAGATCTGTTTAACATTAATGAAATAAAGATTTGTTTCATATTGTTTTTTAAATATCAAATATATTTTTTTTTAATTTTTTTATCCCTTTGTATATCATATGTATCTTGTATTTTTTTTATATATTTAAATTTTCTATCTATAAACTTTTACTTTTATTTTTTATTTTTAATATATTAATTATATATAAAATTTGTTTAATAGAATAACTTTGTCATGTAATGAACAACTGCTACTATTATCTTTTCTAATTGAGCATACATACTTATATGGTATATAAATTAAGAAAGAATGTCATTTGCATTTGTACAAGCAATTATAAACTCTTCTGCTCTATTATTTCATTGTTTAAGCGAACATATTGTTATATGATATAATCTTCACTTTATACAATAGAGAAAAAAAATATTATCTATATAAGCAAAATATTTTTTTTTTCCAAAAAAAATAATCATTGATAATATTATTATAATTATATATATGTTACATTTTATCCAAGACAAATATATATTGTATTTCATCCAAGATTAATATATATATATATATTCCATGCATTAATCATAAAATTGAGGAACACTGGCATTGCATATTGCATGATGTCATCACATATGTAATAGTCCATAATATTTGAATTATTCTCAGTTTCTTGGTCATTTATACGTATGCCAATGTCTGAATTTATATATCTTTGTTTTGATTTACAGTTGCTAAAGATTGCGATTATTATGCACAGGGTCTGTGACAATGCGGGAGAAGAAAGGAGGTGCTCTTAGCAGAGTACAAAAGCTGAAAAAAAGGCTTAGCCATAGCTTTGGAAGACTTTGTAAGTACATTTAAAAAATATATAAAATATAAAAAACATTTAATTAATATTTAATTAATATTTAATTTATATTATATTTTTTGAAATGATTTTTATAACAAAATGATAAAAATAGTTTAATATAATGTGATATAATGATAATAGTTTAGTATTTTTTATCTAGTATATTTATTCAGTATATTTTTTAGTAATAGATTTTTGAAAAATTTTATAAATTTAATTTTATTATTATTATAATTTTATTATATTTTTTTATTATTATTTTGTGAAATTTTTTGTATTTCTATTATGCTATATGATATTATATTAAATAATTAAATAATATATTCTAATGTATTTTTATATTTATTTAATTGTATTTATGATATTGACTTTTATAATGAAATGATTAATATATTGTTCTAAAATTATTGTATCTAATATTAATTTATTAATATTCTTTATTTTAGCAATATCAAAAGAAGAGGCTGATGATGCTGCAAACAGAGGTCAACTGCCATATAATGGCTATTCTGAGGAGTTCCTAGACCGTTTAGAACCAAACGGCAATATACCTGCAGATAAGGATCGTCGTTACGGTAAGTATAAAATTCATACATACTATAAAAATAATCATGTTATAATCATATAATATAATTATTAACAATACAAATTATAACTCTATTTATCAAACTAAGTAAGTTTTATTAGTGCATCAGTATTTATCAAGATAAATAGTATTTTTTTAAAGATATAATATGTGACATAAATGACTGCTATGAAATATATTTATACTGATGTTTGATATATATATATATATATATATTTAATTATAAACATTTGTTACTAATTACTAGTTAAGAACACTCAGTAGCAATTAATATAATTAAACTGATATAATTATATCTATTTGATAATTTATATTATATAAATTAAAAATTTTTATGTATTAATAAAATATTGAGGGATTATGATTCTACGTGGATTCCTATTGCTGTTATTTTAAAGAAAGTTTTAAGGACGAAATTGGATGTCATAGAATGGACAGGTGTGGGCGACCATGAGAGAGTGCATCGGCAGCTTTCCGTTTCTAGTGATTCCAAGCTTCTTGATGAGGATATACGAGAAGAAGCGAGAGTAATCTTACGACCTCGGCGTCCACCGCGACCTAAGTCAGAGGTCTTTCTTGGGCCAGATCCACCTCCTAGAAGAACCAAGAGATTTTCAGCATTTGGAGTAATGTCAAGTTTATATCTTCTATATTTGTTATTTAATATGTTAATATTAAACAGTATCTATATATATATATATATTTATATATATATTTACAGGGAGATTCCCCTTTTGGTAAATCTGAAGCTTATATAAAATTGGAACAATTAGGGGAAGGATCATATGCCACAGTGTTCAAAGGCTATAGTCATCTTACAAATCAAATGGTGGCACTTAAAGAAATTAGACTACAAGAGGAAGAAGGTGCCCCATTTACTGCCATTCGTGAGGCAAGCCTTCTTAAAGAATTGAAACATAGCAATATCGTTACTTTACACGATATAATTCATACGCGCGAGACTCTTACTTTCGTTTTTGAATATGTTCATACTGATCTATCACAATATATGGAAAGGTATGGAAGCGGTAATGGTGGTTTAGATCCACGAAATGTTAAACTATTTTTGTTTCAATTATTAAGAGGATTGGCATACTGTCACCGCAGGTAAAAGCATCTATATATATATATATATATATATATATATATATATAATTAAATTTTAAAGTTTAATTATTA